GTTGGCTGTCATACGCAAGTACCTAACTAGGAGAGCTCAAACGTCTCTGTTTGCGAAGGGCATATGAGTGCGATTTGATGATTGCCGCGTTAGATCGCATCTAGTTTGGTTGATAAAATGGAGGTTGCTCAGCTCTGTTGCCCCCTAATCTTAACCATTAACTCTGAAACAAACTCTTCACAGATTCAGGCTCATGACGAGTAGATAAAATACACACCCTTACCGACCCCAGTGGAGAAGAGGTGGCTGGCTATTTCCCTTCTGAATGTGAAGTGGCTGACTGAGAGCGCCGTTGTGACGACCGGGCTCCGAAAGTAAACCAATACACCTATTTTCACTTTTGCCAAAAGTATTCGATGAACAAGCAGTCAACTAAATTCATAGTCCCTAGTAAACCACTTGCGTAGTATTTGGAATCATTAATATCAACCACATTCATCCAAAAACTGTACGATAAACTTCACGAACTAATTTGGAGCAGTTTCGATCTTCGCATGACATAGTTTGTATGATGCAGACAAATATGCACCACAATACGAGTTGTCACAGTGAAATGGAGCCATATGCACCGTTACAATGGTGTTCACATGATGTCTTCATGTTACGTGTGGGCCAATTAACATTTCCCAAGCCCTAGACTTTATCAGTTCAATCCTATGTATCTAACAGGCGTAATGGAGAAATTCATGCATATAGAAAGGATGGAAACGTCAAAGTTGTTGAGGTTGTGCCGAGAATTCTGTCGTAAACTTTCCGTCACTGATATAGGCGTAAGATAAACCGCAATACGCAGTCGCGCAACCTACAGACACTTCTCCATGGTCATCAACTAATCCAACGAACAAGCATTTCCTTGCTCATAAACCGTAAATTTAAGGATAAGAAATTACACTAAAAATACTGTTCCTTTTCTCCCATTTACAAGCAAAATTTGAGTAGCTTATTCATTTTCACTCCAGCTATATAGCAATCGCGAATAAGTTGCTGTTCTATTGTAAGTATACCCTTGTACTTAAAGTCACCTAACTCCCGAGACATGACAATCCAGCATTGTGCATCCTTGTCGTTTTTACTGGGTAGCATCCTTTGACAGAAAAGGCACAAACAGACACCTGGAATGCGACCGATTCAGAGGTATCCAACCAAAATTCAAATATTCAAGGGAACTTGGTGTTTAGCTAGACCAAACCTATCCCTCTTAACCACATAATAGAAGACCACTCCGACGGGCTTCATATGGGAGAGTTCGAGAAAGCGATATTCGTTTATCAGTAATCAGTACGTTTCATCGGTATTTATCATTTTTATGTCAATGTAGGCATGTTGTCTCTAACCGCACTTAGGCTTTGCGCTGGCAAAAGCTATTTCGCACCAAAATACAACCTCAAGTACAGCTTTGGAGAAAAGCACAAGTGAAACAGCGTGGCTCAAAAGTTCGACTCTGTACTACTCAAAATCATGCACCATTAAACTATTGTTGACAATCGCCCGTTTTCGCCCATTGGTTTTAAAAGTATATGTTGCCAAATTAGTTTGAGAAGGAAACCAACTGTGGTGCAGAATCCATTTAACTGTAGAATATCACAATAGATAACTGGGTCAATGAACGGCGGTCTCAAAAGCTGTAAGTATGGCGGAGCTATGTCCGTCAAATCTTAAGGTTCATATTGTGATTTTTACCATGCTATGGTTTATGAAGTTTTGTAGCGATGACGGCAATCCATTTTATGTCAACTCATCTAGCCTAGAGCGGTCACCAGGATTTTGTTTCTCGTGATATTGTCTACAACTTAGGATCCATCGCAGTAGTGAGTCCGACCCGAATGCATAAGTAGTCTCTATCCCATACCTGTCGACGACACACTAATATTAGGCCTACACTTAAGAATAGATTAGGAGTTACCCTATTTTTCATTTGTTCTTGTTCGATTACTTTAAACTTCCTAAGGCACAGCGCAGTGGCGATCCACTGCTGGGACTGTATCCAGGAAAGCTCATAATCATCAAAAGTATGAACATCTGGCAAGTATTTAAATTGGCTAAAATAGGTTGACTTCAGAACCAACTGATCAACTGTCGAAGAGTGCAACTTGTTGACTAGTAACAACATCTTTGCTACCCGATTGACAGAGTGTAAACGCGAATGGAAAAATTTAAACGTTACTCGACGCACATGTATAGCGAATACAATGGCAATTTTACGGGATAAAAGTGCTATTTCAGTGACACTCGCCAGTGAATAAGGATGGTTTGCTTGTACTGTGTCGTTTCGTACCAATCAACCAAGGCACACTGGGATTTGTTATGACCGTACTAACTGTAGTCGAGTACTGAGTGTTAACTTTGCCCAAATCACCGGGAGCCGCTGAGAAAGATGACAAGATACATAATATAGTGGGCCAGTGGTTACTCGAGTAAAAGTTTCCATAAAGATGTAGCATCATTTGTATAAATTCATAAAAGCGGTGAGTACGTTTCTTGTTATTTTCTCGGTCACTTACCCTTACAGTTTACGGTGCGTTGAAGTCGTGGTCAGCAAACAACATAGTCTAACCCTGTTTGCGCAGAAGGATGTATTTGTGGACATGGTAACTCGGTGTCAGTCGGGTGAGAAATGAATGCTAAAGCGACAAGACTGCGGTTACCTACGTTTGGTCAAACTGATGCTTCGGCTGCGTTACTTTCATAATGCTATATATGTACGCGGTATTTAGTAAATAGATGAAAATGTGCGGAGGAATCGTTCTGGGATAAAGTCGTACAGTACCCCTGAGTTAACATTTCTGCCAAAGGTTTCATCGGGAACTAGTTTTCAATAATATCAAAGTGCACAAATTACTAAATAATGATAGAAAGTAACCAACTGAAATTTAAAAGCCATGCAATATTTGCGCTCAACTGTGTCATTCATTAATATACCTTTGCATAAAATGCTTGCTTACGTTTTCAGAAATGTGTGCCAAAACACTTATTTCTGTCGGTTTAAATAGTGTGGCAGAATTATTTTCACATTGTGCAGTCGGTACCAGGCACTTTTTGAGTAACCATTCATAAACTACTCGCATTCATGTTTCCTGTTTGCCCACAGCCTGTGAGAAATTGTGGTGCATACGTCGTTTATCTTGCGGCACTAGCTTAACATAATTTGCCTTAAATACTTTTGAGGCAGTTAGATGTGCCTGATGGAGAGCTTGATGTCTGCGAACACCAAATTAGTCACAGACATGGCGATGTGAGCCTAATGACAACACATGTAAGTGGTTTTTCACGCAGAAAACAAGGAAATATAGAAATGACCGTAAAAACTCAATGAAATTTCGGATTGGATGCTAGTTGAAAAGAGCATACGGTACAACTGCCCCCGGAATATTTACACTAAAGTGTACGAAATACCTATTTATGTGTTTATAACAACTGAGCCTCAGGATGGTATGCAAATTTGTACAAACATACATACATGCATATCACCAAATTCATCTACATATTCATATAAACGTTGTCGATTAAAATTGTTTATCGCTTTGCCTGATTTGCAAAATCTATCGCATGGTAACGTTTATTGTTTAGTTGCACACATTTACTATAAATTGCGTTCAGCAGACCTACATACATGGTTACTGCGCAAATGAATTTCCTTAAAAACGCTAGCTGTGTATATTACAGAACGGACTCAAAAGGCAGATTGAAACCAAGACGGTTATTCTGCTTGTATTGCGGGCATTAAACCATCACTAGTACAAGCAACATTTCGGTTTATAGTCATTAAGTTTGGCGGTGTTTAAGATAGCCGGTAGTGAAATTCTTAAGAACTTATTTCTGTTTCATACTGAATATACCATATATCAACACGCAACTACGTCAGCACCCTACTAGCTACTTGAAGGGGGTCACGTCTCACGACCTACAGACGTCAGATTCAGCGCGTTCAGTGCCTGCAATGAACTGTGGTCCCAGTGGTTCGAACGGGAACCCAAGAATACAGAATCGCTTTGAAAGTACCAGATGTCATGCTGAACACTGCTGAAGTTTGACCAGAGCGAAAGACAACATTGAAACCTGCGATCCATTGTGCTAAAAAGGTAAATTTTGTGGGAAACACGAAAGTCGACGTCACCAGTTTTTCAAGGCTAATATTCGCTTGGCAAAAATTGTATATCGCATTTAACCTATTGCATAATAATATGAAAAAGCTGTGCGTGAGGGGCAGCTGAATACAACCACCTTCGATAATGTACGAAGTTTGCAAAGAGTTACATCGATTCATTTAAGCACACTAAGCATAAGTACTGCTTCTGGAAGTTCTGTACTTATCCGCAAATAATCAACTTCCCCTTATCTATAACAGCGCGCTTCGGTTACGACTTATTTCACTAAACACCTATTCGGTGGATGTATAAAGGGTAATCTCACGAAACTTATTTGCCATATGAATACTATGGCAATTTCTACGCTGAATCAGGATTAGATGGCGCATGGTGAGCGAAGTCTAATGAGAGGAATTGCTCATGCAGCTTCACCAAATCCCGCGGTCAATATTTCTCAGCTTATGCCAAACAGGCGTAGTCTACCACACCGGGAAACTTCGTCATTTTAATTTCCAACTATAAACCACGTGTGTTCGCAAGCAGCACGTTAAACATCATGACTGCATCTACTCCATCCTGCTATCTAACAAGTGGAACAACAGTCTTGAATGATCATATTTTCAACTCCGTTGTTTGCAAACAGACTGAAAGTCTACTAACAAACCCAATTTGGTAATCACACAAAAACGCTTGAAGAAACGTGGATAATACACAAGGATATCAAAAAGCGCCAAGATTTTAAACTCTCTAAAATATACTATAAATACTTCCGGATGTAGTAAACAAATTAGCCAAAATGGCCGAAGCCTCTGAATATATATAAAAGAGTAGGGCTATATATATATATATATATATATATATGAATTGCTCAGTTGCATGCGGTGGTAAGTGTAAAACTTAAGGCTGCTTGCTCACCTTGGCAATTGCATAAATATGTTACCAAAACACAAGTCAACCACACAAGGCCTGTACGGCGATTATTGCTAGTCCACATTTTCACTTCACCAGAATAATCCAAATGGTAGGTTAACTGGCCTTATAATCTGTACAATTTGTGTAGGATGGTCCAATTTTTCGCCTACGCAACAGTTTTACGTTACCAAGCTCACATACATTGTGCGATGGTCCATCACGATGCTAAAGTGTTACTTGTCAGCGACTGACCTTTGGTCACCTAGCTTACTCCGCTTAATATTCATGTGGATTCGCTGGACTTTTTGCAAAATTTAACAGCGAACGTGATAAACGACAAAATGATGGGCTCAAATACTTCGAACAATGCGACGAATAATCAGAGCTATGTGTTTTATGAACATTACGTTGAGAATTAAAATGAAGTTGATGGATAACCTATTCCTCGCATGCACTCCAATACAGCCGTCATCTGCATTAGGCTCGCGGAAATCATGGCTTTCTACAGTATTTATGATCTTGTTTAAGTCAGTATTCACTCCTGGAATTCATTCAGTCTATACATTGTTGGCTGCATCCGTTTCCGGATTTGTCTGTAAATTCGGCCTCCACGGGGACAGCCACAGGACGCATGCGCCTACAGAGGACACATGGGTGGCTTGCGCTCCGCACCATCTACATACCCAGTATCCAGTGTAAACACGAAAGAATAAGACGGAAAGGCATGTGAAAGAGAGCCACATTTCAACAACAGAGCCGACCCACACTCCTTCACAGGCAAACACAAGCTATGGCTGGACCGTAATCCGCTCCACACTGAGTGCATGGAACCACTCTTCGAGCCTAGCACGGCCACAAGGACCGTGCACTCCGATCCCTCCAGCAACGACCAACTGTCTCCTGTAGCCAGTATGAATGAGGTAGTGGGTAATAGACAGGTAGGCACCTTGTCAACATGCACATCAAACGTAGCCACACCGGGGATATGAAGCAACAGCCAGTCACTTATAATTATAATTATCAACTAAAATATTTTTGTTATAGCATATGGCCATGCCGACATAACTCTTCGCTACATTAACGTATGAAGTATGTTGGTTAGCAACGAATCCGTGATAAGCATAAAATGTCCACAAGCTACACAAAAAATGCTACAAACGCGATAAGCTTAAAGAAGATAGGCACAATTAGCGTAAGCAACGTGGCCAGTTAATAAAAGATTATTCATGTAAGCAGACACTGTTTCCACGGAGAATGTTTCACTTGTTATCACGATTGCTGGGTCTACCACCTGAGCGTGCTATGTCTGCGGTGTTTTCACTGCAACAGGTTTGGCAGTATAATCGGTATTTAAATTTTGTCTCGCAGCTGATCTCGTCGTACTAGCTGTTCCTTTTGCATTCCTTGTGACTAGCACTAATTCTAGAGAGAAATGACATAGAATAGGAGAATCCAGGAACTAGTGTGTAGATATCACACTTTATCACGTTTCCAATTGGCTATAGTGATTAATCCTGCAGAGAGTATATTACCACAGTCATTAAGAGGGGATGAAAACACGAATGACCGCAGTAGGTGGTAATTTATTACAAACTCTCCTCAGTAAAGAAGATGGAATAGAGCAGCGTTTCTCAAAGTGTGGTCCGTGGAATTTTCAGTATTATGACAATTCATTTAACCATTTTTTGAGCGTAGTCCTTTTACTTTTCGGGTTCTTGACCAACCTGCTGCGAACATTTGTTAAATTATGTCTTAGATTTATGCGTGGCCCGTGTAAAACACACTCCTTCCAAAAAGAAACCTGGTTTTCGCAGGTACACACTATATGAGTGACGAAACTGCAAAATGTCAAAAATGTATTGCGGTGATCTAACCAGGATGCGATGACAGAGGCCGTATGGATAACTCTACGTCTGCGCAAGCTCACATAACCGAAGCTTTGTCCCCTGGTGAAAGGCAAAAAGTCGACCATGAGATATGGCAACCTTTTACGTTCAGTTCAAAAGTGGCTATTCTCCGAAGATGGCAAACCGTAAATAGCGACCCTTTGGAGCGATCCCGCCCACTGAAGCGCAGAACGAAAGAGTGGATTTTTAGGTGCTTTACGAATGTGCTCATTTGATTTATTGAAGGGGAGAGAAACCATTTTGCGTAGTTACTAAAAGGTTGCCGTTTTGTTTAGTTTATACTTCATTCAAAGTCCAAATTATCGTAGAGTAATTAAATTCGAGGTGTTGACTTTTTCATGCCCAGTCCAGCGTTTGGATCTAAAACATCACTATGGACCGTCGGCTGAAGACTAGAACACTGCTAACTGTCACGGAAATATTCACTGTCAAACGCAAGTTTAGTAATCGTTGGGCTATGTAATGTGACTTCTGAAAATGTAGAAACTGAGACGTTTGATGTACCTGAACTACCTAATGCTATGCGACATAAATCTGTGCCAACCGTAGCCTCTGTGCCAGTAGATAAGAGATGTAAAAATTATAACATTTTTCTTTCATTTGGCTTTATGTAGTTCAGCATTGCCCACAGTGCCTCGTGTGTAACAAAGTTCTTCCGAACACTTTCATGGTGCCTGTAGAAGTTCAGCGGCAATTTGAAAAATTCATGCGAAGTGCAAAGACAAAAAAAGGAATTTGAGCGTAGGCTAGATGGACTGAACACCCGAAAGTACGTGCTTCGTTTTCCCCAGACTGTAAATGAAAACGCTACTGAAGCATTTTACACAGTTACTTATCAGACTGTGCTGACAGGAAAACATCACACAACAGCCAAGCAATGTATCAAGCCATAGGTAGTCGAGATGACTTGGCGCATGCTAAATGAAAAATCCGTAACACAACTCTCTGTAATACCACCATCAAATGGAACGGTATTCCGAAGAATTAACACACTAGTAACTACTGTCAAGGAGGCTTTAAGCGCCCGCATCCGGTATACATACTTTGCTCTTCAAATGGATGAGTCGGCAAATGTGGCAGGAGTTGCGGTGCTTATAATGTTTGTAGGATACCAAGACCCACTACCGCTGCTAGCAAACAAGCTTTTGTATGAACCTCTACCGTAGAACAGTAGTGGCGCTGACGTGTTCAACATCGTAAATAATTTTGTGCACGTAGATAACATTACATGAGACAATTGCATCGGTCGTTGCACTGATGGTGCCAAAACAATGAAAGGAAAGATTGCTGGTATTGTGACAATTATCAAAAGCGTTGAAAAACGCGACACAAGTAGCTAATGTATTCTTCATGAACAAGCAGTTTCCGTAAGCAAAATGACACTTAATCTCACAATCCTCATCGATGAGGCGTAAAAATAATCGATTTCATTCCGCTTCTGCAGCTGAACAACCGACTTTTCAAGAAGCTGTGTGACGATATGTGAAGTGTCCACACATCTTTACTGATATACACTGAAGTAAGATGGTTCTCACGAAAAAATATTACTGCGTTTGTTAGATTTACGTACAGAACTCTTCGTACTATTCATTCAGCTCAGTTTTGATGTACATTTCTGGAGGACTGACAGGAAGTACTTGGCAATACTTGCCAACCTGTCCGATATCTTCGCAAAAGTAAAGGACGTAAACCTAGGAAAGCGCTATTTAAGTAGTAGGGGATTTATTAGGTTGTTGTGTAGATTCGTCACAGTTAGACACAGACAGACACCACACATCCAGGAAAGCGCTTTCCTGGATGTGTGGTGGCTGTCTGTCTGGGTCTAACTGCGACGAATCTACACAAAAACCTAATAAATCCCCCTACTACTTACAGACGTAAACCTATTAATACATGGAAAATCTGCGAACATATTCAAGAAAAATGACATAATCCGAGGGTTAAGAAGAAATTTTGGAAGGATGGGCATTTCTGTTCGTAGTGCAGATCTCAGCATCTTTCCGGCATTAAAATATATTTTGGCAGAGATGAAGCAGGGCACAGTAATCCCAGAAGATCTGTCTGAGGAAACTGTGTAGCATTTGGATGAGCTGGTCAAAACCATCGCTCAGTATTTCCACAGCGAAGATGAGGAAGCATGGAAGGATTTTTCACGGATCAAGAACCCATGTAGTTGTGCGAAAAAGCCTTCTCCTTTCAAATCTCTTCAGTGTGAACAGCTCAACACCATGCTCTCAGTTGCTTAATTCCAGCAAGAAGTTAACAATTTATCGTTGCCTGATTGCTGGTGTAAAATTAAGGAAAGTGCCCTGTCAACGTGAAGACAGCTGTCGCCGTGCTTCTCACATTCGACACAAATTATCTGTGTGAAGGTGCATTTTCGCATTACTCCGATACGAAAACAAAGTACTGCAGCAGACCAGACATGAGCTGGCAACTTTCCTCATTGACACCAAACATCAAGCAAGTCAGTGCTGTATATCAGAAACAATTTCATCCCACACATGAAGACCTAATATAGGTTGTTTTTCTGCATAAATGCAACAGCTGTCATTTTTTCTAACATTATTGCAAACCCGTGTTAATTCAGTGCACAGGAATGAAGATTTCCGGGACAGTGTGCCTCATTTTCATCTTATTAAATTCTAGTCCTTTGGTTAAGATGGCCTGCCGAACAACCTCTTCGTTGTGATAGCTGCTTGGTTCAGGCCTTCCCGTTCCAGCGAATGGTTCAGCGACAGCGTTCCAGGATATGGCGCGTTTTCGCCTAGCAACCGTTCTCCCCACAAAAAGCTTCAAATGTCTGTTTAACAACACTGCGAATTGGCGGATATGATTCGCCACTATATAAGGTAACTAATCCTTGCATCCCTCCGGTGGAACATTGGACGCCAGCAGTTTGCAGCTGAATTAGTGGGGAGGATTGGGCCCCTGTTTGTTACTTGACTAAACGAAAAGCTTGAGTCCTTACATTTGCTCTGCTACATTGTGGATAGACTATCTAGCCAAAAGCTCAGATTGGAGTTCCCTAAGGCAACTCCTTACTTCGGCCTAGGCAACCAGGTAGCAGCTCCCCTACTGACGAACCATAGAAACATACTCATGATCTCAATCTTACGATTTTCTACGCTCCTGCTATTACACCAGCTTTACGACCACATGTCACGTTTGACAGCTGTCA